GCTGCCTCAGTGTCCTCACAACATGACATCTGGCTTTGCTCAGAGCAAGTGATTCAACAGAGAAACAGAAGCCAAACTCACTCAAAGTGATAGACCATTATTTCTCCTGTGTTCTCTTAGTCCCACAGATGACCCCTGATATAGTGTGAGAGGAAACTGCACAAAAAAACATGAATACCAGGAGGCTGGCTACCATAATTTGGCCTCCAAAGATTCACATTCTTCCAATATGCAAAATGCACTTATCCTCTCCCAAAGGTCCCCAAAACTCATCCCCTTACAGCATTAGCTCAAAGTCTAGAAATCTTGATCAAGTCCAGGTGTGGATGAGGCTTTTTAGTGTACTTCCTTAAGCGCAGCTCCTTAAACAGAGTTCCTCTTGATCTGAAGACCCATAAACTAAAGACACAGAGTATCTGCCTCCACACACCTACTAGAAAATGGATGTGATAAGCTCTATAGACCTGTGTATTTTAAATGAGGCACATAGGTTCACAGAAATTCTGAAAGCCACCTGAGCATGGCTTGGCAGTTACTTGATTAGGATTCAAGGCCTGAGAGTAATTCTCCATGGCGCTTAACTCTGCCTTTTGGTCTCTTGGATTCACCCACTGAGTCATCCTTCCTTTTCCATGTTTACAGCTATGTAGTTGTCTCTGCCTATAGAAGCTTTGATGTTCAAAAGGCTCTTTTCGTTTGGTTCTCTGTCTCTTTCGATTCAGGCTGGCAAACAGCATGCTAATATAATTCTCTTTAAAAAGTCTTTTTTAAAAATTATATTCTTATAATTCTCTTATAAACTTTATGGTCTCCTGTGAATTTTATTTGAGTTCATGCCATTAGACAAAGCAACACTCATAAATCCCTTCCATATAAAACCTCTACCTTGGGATTTTGATGCACTACACTCATAAACTTGTTAGAAGATTTGAAATTTGATTGAGAGGTCCTGTGAGGCACACCCTTTGTGTCTGAATGAAAATACTCTGAGGCCCCACACTAGATCTTTCTGAGGTGTTAAAGGGCTTTACAACTATACCCTCAACTTTGTATTTTCCTGTTAGTGCCCTGGATTTGTCCCTCCTTCCTTTCCTAATTTTGACATCATTTGTCACCTGGAGAGGCTGGGAATCTTCAAATCCCACAATTTCTGGCTCCTTTTTGTTTAACAGTTCTTCCTTTAACTTTCCTCTCTCCTCACATTTTGCTATAAGCAACAAGAAGAAACCAGGTGACATCTAACTTTCTGGCTGGAAATCTTAACTAGATCACCCATTCATTAGGCATATTTTCTACTTTGGACATAATTGCAGGTGACAAATTTGCTGAACTTTCTGCCACTTTCCTGCAGTTTCCAATTAGACTTTTCTAATCTGTTAAGACCTTATCTACAGCCTCCTCAAAGTTATGTGTCTACCATTTCTTCAAGGCTCTTCAAACTTTCACTAACACTCTCTTCCAAGTCCTTCCACCTTCTGCCCACTGCCGCTTCCAAAGCCACTCTTACATTTTAGGTGTTTGTTATGTCAGTAAGCCACTTCCAGGTACAAAAATCTTTATTAATTTTCTAACGTTTTATAACAAACTATCCCGAAACATAGTATTTAAAGCAACAAACATTTCTTATATCATGCGGTGTCTGAGGGTCAGAAATCCAGGAGCAGCTTAAGTGAGTGGTTCTAGCTTGAGGTCTTTTGTGAAGTAGCAGTCAAGCTGTTGGCTGCGGCTACAATCATCTGATGGTTTAATTGGTGCTGGAGGACCCACTTCCAAGATGGTTTACTCTGTTGGTTATTGGCAGGATGCCTCAGTTCTTCACTGGATATTTATCAGAGTACCTCAATTCCTCACCACATATGCCTCTCCATAGAGTTGTGTAGCTCTCCCTAAAGCAGATAATCCAAGAGAAAGAGACAGAAGCTACCACGTCTTTTATGTCTTTTTTGACCTAGCTTCACAAGTGACATACCATCACACAGATATGTGGCCAACAGGTTGGTCACACATACCAACCAAGATACAGTGTGAGAGGGCATTACACAAGGGTGTGAATACCAGGGAGTGAGAACCATTGGGTGCCATTTTGGAGGCCAGCTTCCACAGGACTTTATCTGGATCATGATTCAAACAAACAAACAAAAAAGCACATTTATGATAATTAGAAATTTGAATGCTTATTGAATATTTGATGATATTAGGGAATTATTGTAAATTACTTTATGTGTTATAGTAATTTTTAAAGATCCCTTATCTTTTAGCGATACATATTGAAATGTTTATAGATGTAATGATATGTCTTGGATATACTTCAAAATAATAAGAGATAGGGAAAGTGGGTGGTAGTGTAAGTGAAGCAAGATTGGTTATGAGTTGATAATCATTGAAGCTGGGCAGTTCATAAATGGGAGCTCATTATTCTGCATACTTGTATATATTTTTTTAATATTTTCTATTAAAAAAAAGACACCATAAGGCAGGTAGAAGATAAGTCACAAACTGGGAGATCTTTACAACCCATAATGGCAAAAGGATTAGTATTCACACTGTGTAAAGAATTACTACAATTTAATTACTTAATTAATTTTGAGGAAATGTAGCCCTGAGCTAACATCTGCTGCCAATCCTCTTCTTTGTTTTGCTAAGGAAGACTGCCCCTGAGCTAACATCCATGCCCATCTTCCTCTACTTTATATGTGGGATACTTGCCACAGCATGGCTTGACAAGCGGTATGTAGGTCCACAGCCGGGACCCAAACGGGCAAACTCCAGGCCACTGAAGCAGAATGTGCGAACTTATCCGCTGTGCCACCAGGCTGGCCCCACAATTTAATTTAAAAAAAAAAGATAGATAATGCTCTCCACACTTCCCCACAAACAGGTAATTTGTAGAGGAGGAAACCTGAAGAGATGTTGAACCGCAAAGAAATGCCATTTCACACCCACCACATAGGCAAAAATGTAAAAGTCTGACAATATCACCAGAACATTTATCCCTTGCTGGTTGGAGTATAAATTGATATAATCAATTTAGAAAACAATTGGCATTATCTAACAAACTTGACGATGTACATCTTCTATGACCCAGGAGAAGTGTGTACCAGGATATATGAGCAAGAAAATTCATAACAGTATTATTAGTGTAGTGAAAGGGAACCAACCCAACTGTCCATCAACAGTAGAGTGGTTAAATACATTGTGTATACTCATGCAGTAGACTACAACAGTGGGAAAAAAAGAATTACAAATCCTTGGACATGGATGAATCTCTAACAATGTTGAGCAAAAAAGGAATTCACAGAAGAATATTACAGTAGAAGTCCACTTTTACAAATTAAAGAACCAATAAAAGTAAATATCTTGTTTAAGGGTGCAAACATAGAAGCAAATCTATAAACTAAAGCAAAAGAATGGTAACCACAAAAGCAAGATAGTGATTCTCTCTAGCTGCAGAGAGAAAGAGATGGAATACAGAAGGAACATCAAAGTGTGATTATATATGTTGCTTTAGCCTCAACAGTCCTGATTTGCCGATTTTCCTGGTATAGTAACTAATAGCACTCTCTTTCACTCTCAGAAGGGTTCTGGTTTGGATAATAAATTATATGTTCATCCTTTTTAAAGTAACTTTTCTTCCTTTAATCTAGATTGAGGGCATATGGACCTTCCTTGTATCATTTATCCTTATATCACACAGGTGTATTACAACTGCTCATTTGAAACTAGCCCCAACATTTAATAATTTTAAATTTTAGCCAGTGACAACACAGTAAGAAAAAAATCTGTATGTAGGACAAATGTAAGTAGGATTTGAATGAAGCCCTTATCATCTGGGTGGATGTGGAGATAAATAACATACCATGTGCCTGGCATTGTGTTAAGCCCTTTACAGATATTACTTCATCCTCATAGCAAGGCTTTTAGGTGGGTATTATTATTTTAATTTTGCAGATGAAGAATCTGAGGCACAAAAAGTATATGTAACTTAACCAAAGTCGTACCATAAATGACAGAAGATAATTTGAACCCAAGGAATGTTACACCAGACTACGTGCTCTTAACCACAATGCCCAAGTCCATAATAGACATTCTTAATCTTTTTTGTACCATGGATTCCTTTGGCAGTCTGGTGAGGCCTATAAAGCCCTTTTTAGAATCAGGTTTTAACTGTGTAAAATATGCATAGAATCATAAATGAAACCAATTATACTAAAATACAGTAAGTTCAACAGAAGTGTGTATGTATGTTCTTCTTTATTAATGCATCAAATAACAAACTCTAGCAAAAGGTATAATATTATCTATAATTTTAAAGTAGTGAACACCAATTTTATGTTGAGATTTCTACAACTATAGTAATGTGATGGGAAAACATCTGTGATTTTTATGGGTGAAAAAGTCACCGGCACTTCTGATAACACTGTGATTTACTGCCTATTCACAATTGAAAGAAATACTAAATTTCACTTAGAGATTAGCAAAAATTAAGGTATAATATTTTTCCCATTGAAATTCACTGCCCTCTGTTTTGTGACCTTAATTCATAGACATTGTGACATATTTTACTTCAGAGAGGTCATATTCCCCACCCCACCTCCCACTTTCTGGTCTGGGGTTACACTCAAAATGAAATACACAAATAAATTAGTTTATTAGAAATAAAAAATGTTTCTCCATGTGGTGAACTTAAGTGGGGGATGAGAAAAAGGGATGTGTTAGAATGACCAGGTGTACATGTAGATAATGGGAAACTTGAAACTGCTTTAGAGCATTTTATTTGACAGGTTTAAAACTGGTTCCAAACACATACTGCCACATGCATTTATTCATAAAAGAATTCATTATTGATACCAAAATGCCCTGCAGTATACTGTTTGTCGATACCTGTAGCAACGTAACAATCAAAAAAGAAAATTCAAATAGTTGGACACATTTAAAAGTTCCATTGGGCTAAAAGCAAAACATTTTTGATTCGTCTTTCTCATGATTTGATGTCCCAGCAGAGCAACTGGGGAACCTAATTCTGACCAACAAGGAAGAATTGCTTGGCTAATTGGAAGTGACAGAAACCTTGGGAGAAAACAACCACATACTGAGGATAATTATCAGAAGGTAACATGGGCCCTAAAGGATAGTGTCAAGAAACCTGAAGCCCCCAAATGAGGTGAGACTTGCAAAAAATGCTAAGAGAGTACAAAGAACGGGATTTTAAAATTCTGTTCAGAGCCAGAAGAGGATCAAGGAAGGGAAAAGTCCACTTCCAGTTTCTGGTATAAGATTAGAGCTGACAGAGAAAGCAGAACTCCCTAAATATTATTGCGCTTCATTCTGTACAAAGAAAACTTGAGAAGTAGGGCGACATTATAGAAAGAACTATGTGTGTTTGTGGGCTCAGGCAAACCTGGGTTTAATTCTCTGTTTCAGTTCTTAGTAGTTATATTACCCTGGGTCTCCTTTTCCTCATCTGTATAGTAGAGATAATCATATATTTCTCTTAGGATTGTTCTGAGTAATGGAGGCAACACATTCAGAACACTGAGCCAGGCTCACAGTAGTGACTCAATAAATAGCAACTTATTAATATTACTCAAAATAGTAGTATAAATATTGACAGGAAGCAGTACTCTTCCCAAATAGGAGAAGAAAATCTAAGAGTACCTAACAGTTCCAGTTTAGATTATATTATGTGATATGAATGGCTTATATTGCAGTCATTGGGAGGCAAAGTACAAATGAGACCTGAGAACAACTGTCCTCATCTTTGAAGAATTATGGGAAACAGAATAGCTGCTAGAACACTAAACATGGGCAAATGTCTGCCTTTAGGGTGAAAAGTAGAAATTTGAAACCTGGAATTATTTGCTTTTTGACTCAGTAATATTCCCTCTCATTGGTATAGTATTCACTCGCCCAGGGAAGGGGGAATTTCAAAACAAAGCAACTGAAACAAAGGAATAGATTGAATTTTCCAAAGTGCTTAAAGTGAAGACACAAGTCTTGAAACCTAAGGTGATGAGGAAAGAACAGATTTCTTGAACTTCTTCAATGCTTCAAGAGGTAAAATTGGAAAGAAGAAGGAAAAAATTGTATCCTTAAGCAAGATCTGGTGGGTTGAATGGTGGCACCCAGAAAGACATGTCCATGTCCCAATCCCTGGAACCTGTGGGTGTGACCTTATTTGGAAAGAGTCTTTGCAGATGTAATTAAGTTAAGGATGTTGAGATGAGAAGATCAATCACCCTGGATTGTCTGCTGGGCTGTAAGTCCATTGATGCATATCCTTAAGTGACATAAGAAGGGAAGACACAGAGAAAAGGAGGCAATGTGACCACAGAGACTAAGATTGGAGTAATGAGGCCACAAGTGAAGGAATGCTGACAGCTACCAGAAGCTGGAAGAGGCAAAAAACAGATTCCCCCCAGGTCCTCCGGAGGAAGCACAGCCCTGCTGACACCTTGATCTCAGAGTTCTGGCCTCATAACTTTACGAGAATAAATTTCTGTTGTTTTAAACCACCAATTTGTATATATTTATTATGTCAGCCCTATTAAGTTTATACACAGAGTTTAAAGAGAATCTAGCAATATCTCTAGAAAGATTAGGTTTTTCTGGGTTGGAGGGAATGGAGGAATGTGAAATGGACGGTGGAGTGTGGAGAAGGTCTGAGGGACTCCTTGGAGGGGAGAACCAGAGTGGAGTCAGCAAATTATAGACCACACAGTCTCTGCTTGGACAGAGATTGCCAGAATTTAGAAGAAATCTGACAGGGTTGCTGTGCATTGCCAGAACCAGGATGCCGTGTGGCAGCCAATCCAATATTCAAAGTGCCCTCAAGGAGTATTTTATGTCCTCAGAGAGAGCTTCTGTTTGACAAATGCTTTCCATTCCCCACATAGCTGACTGTATGCCAATACTTTACTCGATCCTATCAAAACTACCCATAGGAAAAAGTACTTTTTCAATATTCCCTGGCAGTCTCAAACCGTCAGAAATAGAGGAAGGATCACGGACAACTAAAGGGGTTCCAGTGACGTAGAATGGAAATCCATGTCACTCGGAAACCCTACCTTCAGTCTTTTTTTTTTTTTTTTAAGTTTGGTACCTGCGCTAACATCTGTTGCCAACCTTTTTGTTTTTTCTTCTTCTTCTCTCCAAAGCCCACTGGTACATAGTTGTATATTCTAGTTGTGAGTGCCTCTGGTGGTGCTATATGGGATGCCACCTCAACATGACCTGATGAGCGGTGCCATGTCCGGGCCCAGGATTGGAACCGGCGAAACCCTGGGCCGCCTAAGCAGAGCACGTGAACTTAACCACTTGGCCATGGGGCTGGCCCCCTCTATCTTCACTCTTTACTTGACTGAGACTTCATTCAATTGAGAGTCCTTAACACCTCTGATCCTGCACCAGGACCACAGTGATCCTAGGCAAGATTCTAAAAGGAATTCTTAAAAGGATGCTCGGGGAGCATCTATAAGAAAAAGCAGTAATCAATCAAATACGGTATGGGTTTACCAACCAGAATTTACCTAATTTTATTTTCTTCCTGACAGGGTTACTAGACTAGTACACCAATAATGTGCAGTAGACAATATGTATCTGTGTCCAACAGGCATTGTTCACATTTTTCATCATATACTTATGAGTAAGTAGGAAAGGAAAAAGGGCTAGATGATAGTCCTTCAGGGAATGACTTGACACCCAAAGGGTACTTACTCTTGGATGGTGGTCAGCCTCTCCAGAGGTTTTTAGTGTAGAACCACAGTGCCTATCTGGGTCAACACTGTATTTCATTGACTTGAGAGAAGATACAGAACCCATATTAAGAAATTTTTATCTAATTCAAAGTTGGAAAGGGTAAGATGTTTTACAAACCTTAGATATAGGTTGATGTTGACTCTGGGCTAAATTCTAGATAGTCAGAATTCATAAAATTTTGGGAGTCTGTAACCATACCAACAGAGTCCCCAAAAAATTGGGATTTTTAAGTTTATTCACTCATTTAGATGTCACAAATTTATGGAACATCTACTCTGTGTAAATGTCTACATTAGGCTTTAGAAAGATGATTAAGTTATTGTCCTTGGATTGCAGAAGTTTAAAATCTGGTGAGTGAAACAGACTTGTAAAGAGATATATTATAGCATAAATGTCCTTTGTAAGGCCCTATATTTAGTAAAAGTTAAAAAAAAAATTAATTGGGGCCAGCACTGGCTGCCTAGTGGTTAAGTTCAGCACACTATGCTTTGGTGGCCTGGAATCAGTTCCCAAGCATTGACCTACACCACTCTTCTGTCAGTGGCCATGCTGTGGTGGCAGCTCACATACAAAAAGAGGAAGATTGGCAACAGATGTTATCTCAGGGTGAATCTTCCTCAGCAAAAATGAAAAACAAAGAACAATTAATTACATTTAATTGTTTGGGATGGACTGGCACTTTGTTGTTAGTGCCTCAAGTCAATTCCGACCCCTATGGACCCTGTGTACAGCAGAATGGAGCCCTGCTGGTCATTTTTGCACCATCCTCTTGTCTTCTGGCGCTATATCAGACAATGTGCTGCTGCTATTCATAGAGTTTTCATGGTCAATTTTTTCAGAAGTAGGTGGCCTGGTCCTTTTTCCTAGTCTGTCTTAGTGTGGAAGCTGCAGTGAAACCTGTCCACCTTGGGTGACCCTTCTGGTATTTCAAATTCTGGCAGCGTAGCTTTCAGCATCACCAGCAGCATGCAGCTGCAACAGTATGACAGTCAACAGTTGGGTGGTGTGGTTTCCTGACTGGGAAACAAACCCCTGCCACTGCAGTGAGAGCTCCAAATCTTAACCACTAGACCACCAGGGCTGGCCAGGACCGGCAGCCACCATATGTAAAACACATATAACAGGGGCTGGCCCAGTGGCACAGCGCTTAAGTGTGCACATTCTACTTCGGCGGCCCGGGGTTCACCGGTTCAAATCCCGGGTGTGGACATGGCACTGCTTGGCATGCCATGCTGTGGTAGGTGTCCCACATATAAAATAGAGGAAGACGGGCATGGATGTAAGCTCAGGGCCAGTCTTCCTCAGAAAAAGAGGAGGATTGGCAGATGTTAGCTCAGGGCTAGTCTTCCTCGAAAAAAACCCAACAAAACACCACATGTAACGGTTTAATTAGCTGGAAAAAATAACATTTGCCAAGAATAGGACAGTGGGCTGGTATTCTTATTCTAGCTCAAACAAATTGATTTTCTAAAAAATTAGCAAGGACTTAAACACTGAAAGGAGGAAATACAAATAGCCAATAGAGGATATAAAAACATTTAAAAATTCATTCTCAATTGTAAGCGAATAAGACAACAAATTTGAAAAAAATCAATAAATCATAGTATTCCACGCTTGCAAAGGCATGATGAAATGGACACTTATGTACTGCTGGTACAAACACAATATGGTAATTTTTTGGAAAGTTTTTATATACGAGTCAATATGCAAGGCAACTATTATCTTCTAGTAATCTACTGTAAGAAAGAATCTAAAATATATACATAAAGTATACGTAAGGAAGTCCATAACAGCATTATTTATAATAGCAAAAAAGTTGAAGATGAATGGTTAAAAAGATGCGTGTAGGCATATTATGGAATGTCACAATCAGAATTATGTGTCTTAAAAAGAAGGTGTCTGCAATATTATATTCTATTATGTTATATTCAACTAGAAGGCTAGGGATCATGGCTTCTCACTGTAAACCCTTTTGGACATTTTTGAACTTTGTGCCATGTGCATGTAACACATCTAAAAAAGAAACAATTTAAAAATAGAGTATTCAGCTTAAAATTTTTGATACATTTACAAATATTTTTTAATGATGTAAGAAAATACACCAAGTGAAAGGCAAGGAAATTTCCTTATTTCCTATAGTGAGTATAAGTAATTGGAAAATATACTGTGGCTGTTACTAGAAATATTTTAGCATTTTGTACTGTAAGAAATCTGGGAGCAGTTTACATACAAGCAAGAAGGATGGTAAAGAAGCTCATCTAAGGAACGGTTGGAGGAAAATGTGAATGTTTAGCCTGTAGTATATGTGTGAGAGCACGATGGCTGTCTTCAAGTATCTGAAGTGCTGTCATGTGGAAAAGGGACCACACTTCCTCAGGAAAGTCTCGGGATGAAACTAGACCCATTGGCAGGAGCTATAGTAAGCCATTTCAGCTCAATGTCAAAACACTTAACAGAATTGCTTACTTGTTTATAGGCCATTTCAGCTCAATGTCAGGAAACACTGCCTAACGGAACTAGACAAAAAATGAGTGAATTTCCAGTCACTTGAAGGATTCAAGCATAAATTGTGACCTACTTGTTGGACATCATAGAAGAGATTCAAGTATCAGAAGTGTATTTTTTGGTACGATTCCAGCTGTATGAGAAGTTATTTAACCTCCCTGGAACTCAGTTCTCCGCAAAATGGGGAAGTTTGACTAAATTACCTCCACGTTCCTTTTGAGTTTTAAATTATTTTGATTCTGCATTGGTGTAATTACATTTGGCTCTCCTTTCCAATTTACATGATATCAGCCTTTTATCATTTGAAATACATCACACTATACTTGTGAGAATTAATGAAGATGTTTAAAAAAGTATTTATAAAAATACACTATGTAAGCGTAAGATATCGTTATAGTTCAACATTATTTGCCATTAGGAAAATGCAAATTAACACTACCATGAGATACCACTACGAAACTATTCAAACAGCTAACATAAAAAATACTGTTGACAACAAGTGCTGACAAGATGCGGAGCAACTGTATCTCTCACATTTTGCCAGTGCGAACGTAAAATGATACAGTCACTCTAGAAAACAGTTTGGCGATATTTGATAAAGTTAAACATATACTTACCATAAAACCCAGTAACCTAACTACTAGAGAAGTGAAAACTTACATTCATAGAAAAATCTGTACATAAATGTTCACATCAACTTTATTTGTGATAGCCGAAAACTAGAAACAGCCCAAATATCCTCCAATGGGTGATTGAATAAACTGTGGTACATCCACATCATGGAATACTACTCAGTAATAAAAAGGAACAAACTTGATACACACAATGACTTGCAAGGATCTCAAGGCCATCATGCTAATTGAAAAGCCAATCTCCAAAGTTTACATATGGTATGATTCCATTTATATAGCATTCTCAAAATGGCAAAATTATAGTGATAGGGATCAGATCAGTGGTGTCAAAGGTTAGGGTTGGGGGGAGGGTGTGACTATAAAGGGGTAGCATGAAGGAGTAACCTTGGGGTGATGGAATAATTCTGTATGCTAATTGTGATCACTACATTAATCTATTACATGTGATAACATTTTATAGAACCATACAGTAAAAAAAAATTATATTTAGCATCAAGGTTCTGGAAAGCAAGGAAATTGTATCTTCATTCACTTTTTGTTTTCACTGACTTTTTTATGTTTAGCTATGAACTGTCTTGTAGTCAATAATACAGAAAGTTTTTCATATGAAACACTTTTCTTATTGAAGAATGCTGTAGAGATAAGGGTGTGAGGTGTACTTACTTGATGGTAATTTTACTCCTTTTCTTTAAAGGAGTAAATGGTCAAATGTGAAAGTAAATTCAGGCAAAGCTCACTTTTATTTATATTTTATTCTTGTTTTTAAATTTTACAATCACATTTTCAAGGAAGCCTCTGGAAAAAGGTTTTTACATAAATTTTCACAGCTCACTCAAATGTGATCTATATTTTACTATTTTTCTTATGACTGAAGAGACTGTCCATGCCTTGCCAGGTTCTACTTTAGCTGCTGATTCTCTCTGTTTGTACTTAACTAAACTTGCTTCCATTCAAATTGCATAATAAACAGAGGAGCTTAAATTTAATTCCTGTCCTAGGATAATATCTATACAGAGAGTTTATCCCAAGAGTGAAATTCTCTTATAAGATGATTCTTATGGATACTAAAATATTAGCCTCTCTCAGACAGTGTAAGACTGTTCTTGTGTTGACATTACCACTGTTCACCAGTATTTTCAATTCTCTTCCCTTTTTTGGATATGTAAAAGGTTACATTTCTTAGTTCGGCAAGTCAGGCAGGGCCATGTGACTAGTTCTACTGCTGGAAAGTGACGAGAGGTGATGTGTTATTTGGAGGCCAAATCATTTAAGAGTGAGTACATGATTCCACATGTTGTCTTTCCTGGCACCAAGAGCCCTGTGGCATCACCTTGAGATGGAGACACCAGAAGAAGCAAGTGATCTGGCATGTTGAGCTGCTATATGAAGAGCTGCTGTGGAGAAGCTCCTGGACTCTTAGCAAAGTTGCCTGAGTAAGACATTTTACATGCTAAACCTCTGAGATTTTGGTATCATTTATCACTGCAGCATTATCTAGCCTTTCCTGGCAGATAGAATCTGTATACTAACTTTGACTATATTAAAAGTTTTGTAGTCATTTGTGCTTTCTATACAGCAGATGAATAGCTGTATATAAGTTGTCAGCTTATCCAATAAGAAAATATTTAATATGATAAACATTTCAATTAATAACTTATTCTGTTAGTCTCTATCGTCAACTTAAGATCTCAAATTTCTAATCTAAATGAATAATAATGCTTTTAATTATATATTCCTTTATCTCGAATTTATACCTTGTATTAATCGTTACCAACCAATAAAAAAGGATACATTTGTTTATGCAGTCTTTCAATTCACTAAATAAGCATGGATGTTTCTGGTCATGTTTCCTGGGAAGAAGACCCTGAGATAGAGATTTGCATGCAGAAAAATTTGTTAGGGACTTCTTTTGGAATTAACATTTGTGGTGCAATATGGGATTGGGCAGAGAGAGAAATTGGGCTGTGATATAGTTACAACAAAACCTAAGCCAGTCCTACGGGTTGCTCCAAAGCTAGAGGGGCCCTTCAGAGGTGTTCTAAGTTGACACAAGGGGGCTGGGCCTTTGCATACCCATCAGTGACCAGTCATTGGATACAAACTGCCCCCAGGGACTAAATGCGACCTAACGTAATTCCTGGATAGAGCTGACAGCTTGAGGGGCTGTGAGCCAACAGCATTCATAGCAGCTGGACAAACAAGTCCTTCAGTCCTGAAGAGGAATCTGGTGTTGGTGGAATCCATCTCAGTGTTCAATACAACTGATAATCCACTGAATCAATAGATGGACACAGGACATTTTAGGGATCAAACCTTGGTGCCTTTCCTAAGAATACAGATTATAGTGCTTGCTAAATTTCTAAACCCTATTCTGCAAAAGTGGAATGTCTAAAATATATTAGCTAATCCACATACCTTAAACAACACTAATTTCACCAATGAAAACCCATTGCTAATAGTCATTATGTTAATTAACAAAATTCCAGTGTTGTTCAAGACAAATATGACTAAAGCATTTGTCACAGCTTCCTCTGGATTCTTCCTGTCTGAATCTTGTCTCTAAATATTACCATATCTGCCTTAAGTGAACTTTTCATGCATGTCGTAGTCATATATGGTAGCCAGTCTTCAAATTTTCCCTCAACTACCTTAATACCAATGATCCTTAGTATTCATCTCTTTGTGTAGTTCCCTCCCACATTGAATAGAGATGACTTGTGTAACCAATAAGATATTCTGGAAATGAAGACAGAGGACTGCCAAGGCTAAATCTTAAAAGACATTGCAGACTCTGCCTTGTTCTCTCTTGGATCATCTATTCTGAAGGAAGACAGCCATCATGTTGTGAAGCTGTTCAAGCAACCTTATGGAGAGATCCACATGGGAAGGAACTCAAGTCTCTTTTTAGACACTAGACAATACTAACTTGCCAGCCATATGAGGGAGCCATCTTGGAAGCAGCTCCTCCAGCCCCAGTCAAGTCTTCAGGTAACAACAACAGCACCAGCCAACATCTTGACTCATGAGAGACCCTGAACCAAAACTACCCAGCCAACTTGACCTAGGCCTGATCTACAGAAACTGAGATAATACATATTTATTGTTGTTTTAAGCAGCTAAATTAGGGGTAATTTGTTATGCAGCAATAAATACATCATATGTACATCACAGTATATAAAAAGGACAGGGATCTGGAACTTAATTGAGGTTATAGAAGAGATTGTATCAACTGTTGTATGTATGTTTCCTTGTTAATAACTATTTATTTAAAAAATGTCTGTTTAATGGACAAAGAGATCAGACTACTGGTTACCAGAGGGGAAAGGGGGTTAGTGGGGTGGGCGTAAGGGTTAAAGGGACACATATATATGGTGACGGACAAATTACAACGTACAACTGAAATTTCATAATGTAATAAACTATTATGACTTCAATAAAAAAAGTGTGGTAAACAAATACATATATTTGCTTGAAAAAAAAATGTCTGTTTATATGACAGAATTTGGTCTGAGACTTGCTTTTATTGTAACTTAGTAGCAAGGCTTTGTCAAAGTAACCACCCCCCTCACTTATCTCAAAAATTGGTGGCTACTTTTATCCGTCAAAAAGAACAAAACAGTTATGCATGACCAAATTAGCTTAGATTGTTTTGCGAGACAGTCCTATTGATTTTTCTGCCTACTATAGCTTGATTCTATTCACCTCTCTTTATCACCATCATCCATCCAGTCCAGGCTAACTTCATCTCTCACCTGGACCACTACAACAATCTTCCTCTCATTTATTCATATTCATTGGTCCTATTCCATCCCATTGTCAAAATTAAAGGTAGAGTGATCCTTTAAAAACACAAATCTATTCATGTAATTCTACCACCACACCTGACTCCATTTGATATCTTACAGTGCTTGGAAAAGACCATAAGGCAAAGACATAACTTAGCATGGCCTACAAAAACCCTGCCAGGTATGGACCTACGAACCTTTTGAGCGAGGTCTTGCACTCATCTCCTTCATGCTATCTGTGATCCCACCACACTGGCCTTCCTTCAATTACTAGTACTCTTACGGTTCCCACTCACCACAGAGGATTTGCATGTAGTCTTTCTTCGGCCTTGAAATATCTTCCTTTTCCTCTTTGTCTAGTTCAAGTCTGCCTATCCTTCATGTCTAGTGCATATGTCAAATCCTCAGCAAAACTTTCCCCAATCTCCCTAATTTACTCCTATAGCATTATACATCCCTCCTCTGTGCACCTATCACATTGAAATATTACATTTGTTTGTGTAATTATTTGATTAATGTTTGTGTTCAGTGCTAAACCTTACATTCTATAAGAGCAAGTACCATATCTGGTTTAACTTATTCATGTATGCCCTGGAGCCTACCACAATGCTGAGAACATAGTGCATATTTGCTAAATATTTGATTAAGGTCTAGATAACTGATTAATTAATTGAAAGAACTCAGGTGTCTACGAATGTTGCTTCAAAGCCAGAGTACCTAGGTTCAAATTCTGGCAGTTTTTAACTGTGTAATATTAGGAACAGTTTTACCTCATTGTTCCTTAGATTTATCCTCTGTAAATTGGGAATAATAATTACCTTATAGGGTTTTGCAAGGACTAAATAAATTAATATACGTTAAGGACTTAAAGCCATTCCTGACACAGTAAGTACTATATATGGCAGCTGCAAGAACAATTATTATTAATATATTTGTTCCTTTTGTCATGCTAGTCCCTCAGGCCATGGCCCCGAGTTCCTTGGATAAGTTCATTCTTTTCTTGTACATATCAAATTTCAAGTGTCTATGTAAAAACAAGAAGCTGTGTCAAAGAATGCAGAGTTTATGTCTTTTGACATAATTGAATGCAGAGTTTATGTCTTTTAGGCTTGTCTGGTTTTGACTAAAGTGTAAGGATGCTAATGTTAACCACCATATCATTGGTGTTTATTTGGTAATTTACTATTTATGCAAAAAGACCAAGGAAGCAGAGCTTGTATTAAATGAGAGTCTCAGAGAGTTCTATACCTATCTTTTGCTAGGGCACAGTTTACACACCAAAAAGAATTCAACCCACCATCTCTCTCTGAGTTTTTTGCATTGTTTACTTACTTGTACTTCACATAATGGCAACATATTAACACAATATATAGTACTATTGATCTCTTTGGATTATGGACCTTCCATACTCTGAGGTGCTGACTTTAAACTGACTTTGCAGTAAAAGCTGCAGCTTTGTAATTTTTGAACACCGTATGTTATAAACTGTTGAAATGATGTCTCTTCTTATTTGACAGTGGGAACATTCTTCACACTCAGTGCAAGACAGCAGTGGTTGGACCTTGTTTAGCTGCTAATGCTTTCTACAGAAGTTGTGAATGCTGGCATTTTATTATATTCTGGATCTCCACCTACAAACAGGTCCATTGTAAACTGCCATTAATTTGGGCAATAGGTCATCAGCCAAAGGGTTGTTATAGATAAGTGTTGCCAGTGATGCATTCTATTCTTTGTTTACTACCAACAATGGAAAACACTTTGTACTTTCCAGAGAAACAGATCACCCAGTTCTTGCAACTTATGTCATTTCAGTCTGGGAGGAAAAAAAAAAAGAGAACTCTTTTCAAGCTTTGCCAGTTCCTCCTGGCTTTTTGAGAAGCAGCTACCTCTGAAAGAAAATAGATCAAAGTTACATGGGACTAAGGATGGATCAGATAGCTATATTTGTAGTATGTTGAAAACAGAACTAGCTTTACTGGAAAAGAAATCATGTGTTAGAGTTATAAGGAGCAGAGAAAAGGTTAGAGGGAAGGTTACTAGCCTGAAAAACCAACCTTCATTTCTCTACCAAGTTTGTCAGACCTTAAAATTCCACCATTAGAAATTCATTTGTATGCATTTTAAAAGATAATTCCTTAAAGCAGTTAACTGTGGAAAAAAGTGAATTCTCTCTGAATTCTTTTTCCTGAGAGTGAATTTTGAAAGCACTGAGACCAAGAAGTAACCTAGCTCCTGAAAGCTCCAGTTTGACTACAGGAGTGCTGTGGAGAGAAAAGGTTGGAAGAGCACTAGACTATGTTCAAAGAGAGGCTACAGGGAAAACTCAGGCCATGGAAAATGGTGATTTCAATGTGTGATGACTATGAGGAGAAACAGAAAAAAGAAGTGGATTTTTTTTTTTCATTTGCTGCTCTAGGCATTTACCATAGAACAAAGAAAATACATTACTATATGATGAGATAGAATGAAAGTGACACTCAGACAAAGTAGGAGGGTCATTCCCCTGTCATGCCTAGAATGTGAAACAGCTTCGCTGTCTTAAATATCCTGGTCATTAATTCTTTTCTGACCATATTCCTCCTAAATTAATTCTCTACTTGTATAGTGATTAGTATATTCAGAGCACCTTGAGGGTAATACAAAATTTTAAGTTTTCTGACTTTGAAGCGCTCACCACGTGTCCTTTCTCCTAGTAATTCACTCATCAATGCACATATTGTTTACCTGTTAGATTGAATATGATAGATTGAGGCTCCCTCCATTAATAAGTGAGGAAACACAGGCGCCTTTGTCTTGTAGTTAGGAACCAAGGAATGTACAGAAAGTAATGGTAGGATGAACAGATAAAGGAGGCTGCTGCAGATTTATAGACTTTATTATTATATGCTTGATATTTGCCAGTTGAAGTATAAAGGAAAAACTATGTGTGTGAAAAATCTATCACCTTGTGAGGAACAAAGGAATTTTGTGGCAGGACAACAATTTGTTAGTGGATGGAGGGGAATCAGAAATGATAGGAGCAGAGGGATGGTATCAATTTACATCCCACCAGCAATGTGCAAGAGTAGTAGCATACGATTTTGAAAACTTTAGTGTGTGGTGGTATCTGACAATGGTTTTAATTTGCGTTTCTCTCATAAATAACAATATTGAATCTTTTTTAATATGTTTGCTGACCATTTAGACATCTACATTTTTGGAGTGTCTATTCAAGTCTTTTGCCCATTTTTCAAAACATTGAGTTGTTTGTCCTTCTCTTTTTGATTTATAGTAGTGCTTTAAATGTGTTGTATGTGAGTCCTTTGTCAATAGTTGTTTTACATTTTTCTTCTCTTACTCTGTGGATTTTTCTTTCATTTTCTTAAAGGTGTCTTTTGATGAACGAAAGTTCTTAATTTTAATGAAGTCTATTTTATCAGTCCTTCTTTCATGGTTAGTGCTTTTTGTATTTTAAGAAAATGTTGCCTGCTTTAAGGTCATGAAGATATTCTCCTATGTTTGTTGTTTTACCCTTCACATTAGATCTTTGATCCATTTTGAGTTAATTTAGTGTATAATGTGAGGAAGGCATCAGGATTCATTTTTTCCCATGTAGCTACCCAATTGATCTGGAACCATTTATTGAAAAGATCATCCTTTCCTCCACTGACTTGCACCTTTATCATAAATAACGTAATTGTATATGTTTGATGACTTCCCCTAAATATTCTATTAAACATATTAATTATTTGAGTGAATAATTCAATTAATATTGTACAATTGGTGAACAATTTCTCAATTGGTAAAAACATCAAACACAAAGAAATGAAGAAACTAAGTTCAAAAGGACATATAACATACATGGTGAAGAATAGAAGTAAATGTACCTTCCACCCTGTTCCTCAGTGCTCCATTTCTTTCTCCAGAAGCAAGCCAAGTGTCAGTACCCAGATATGCCAAACATCTCTGCTTAACATTTTGGGGTCCTGAAAAAGAAAGCTCCTTATCCCCAAAGTCTGCTCCCTGATTCTAATGTAGTGAATTCTCTAGGTGATTCTGATATTAACTGTCTCTGTTGTTCTGATACTGAGTGTATCTCAACATAATTTAGAAGTCCATTATCCTTCATTCTTTTAGAAAGCATATAGCTGGATTTTTTAAAAGCCCAATTAGACAAGGGCTTTATTTTATTAGAGGGATTTAACTTATTTGTATTTATTGTGATTATATTTATTCCTGCCATTTTATTTTATACCATTTACTACTTTTTTCTTTCTTGCCTTTTGTGAAATTAATAAGCTTGCTTTCTTTCTTGTTTTAATAGTTTAGAAATTACACATCTTATTTTTATTCTGCTCCTACATATTTACATTTTAACCCCCATTTTATATGTATCTTCTCTTGAAGTCTAGAATTAAGCAGCATCTGTATCATGCCCTTGATCAATTTCACTTCCTTTTCCCCTACTTTCTCCCACAAGTTAAAAGAGGGCAGATCCAATTTTTGTACAGCCTGAAACTTACATAATTTGGGGGATCCTCTTTAAAACAATTTGAAATTCTAAATTTAAAAATTGAGTGCGAAAGTAAATGTTTATTTAGAATGAGAAAGGAAATCAGAAAAAAATTTGTGGATTTTTAAATTTTACAAATCTTAAAAAGAAGTTCCACAAACATAACAGAATATAGAAAAATAACATAATATTTTTATTAATTTCCTGGACACTTCTAAAGTACTTTTTTCCCCTACATTTCCTCTCTTACAATTTTGCATTTTTGATTATTGGAAGACTAACCCACAAACTGTCTTCTAGCTGTGTATATCTCAAAGATGCTCCCACTCCCACCGTCTACATAACCTCCAGTGCTTGGTACCAGGGGAACGCTCGCATTATGACGCAACCCTAGGCTCTGCAGCTTTCCCCCGTGAGTCAGCACGATGGGAAGGAGGATTACTAAGTCCTTTACTACAGGGGGGCACTAGCAAGAAACGGTAACTACTCGCAGATTGACTATGAACCACCTAAATATATTCCCCTAAATCCAAGTGAAATGAGTTCCTTGACTCAACTGCCCCCTGGCCAAATCCCCCAAATATTCATGGCTACCTGGTGCCACCTGTCTTGAGAAGTATCACAGAGGAATTCAGAGAGGAAACAAAGTGGTCAAATGATTAATTTAACAAATAAAATATTTTAAAATTTTCAACTATTCTACATTTTAAGGAAATTTCTTAAAGAGATAGGCATATATATTAATGCATGCATATTTACTTATGTATGCAAAGGATATCACTGTACAGACTAAAACATAATTGAAAACTGTTACTCTGGGGAAAGGCAATGGAGACTAGAGGATGGTAGGTGGAGGGAGAGGGAAGGAGATTTCCCCTTCACTCTCTATACTCTTGTAACTGTTGAGAAGCTTTTATTATTATTATTTTGTTGTTTGTCTCTTTTCTTTACTATGGATGTGTATTACTTATTCAACTTATGAAAGAAAGAAAAAATGTTGTCTTTTAAAATCCAAAAGGAAAACATGAAATATTAAGCCTTGCAGCTAACTCTCCTTATTCCTTTTCTTGCTGTTTATCTATAAACTAGAAATGATGCTGCTATGGTCTGAACGTTTGTGTCTCCCTCAAATTCATATGTTGAAATCCTAACTCCCAAAGATGGTGATATTAGGAGATGGGGCTTTTGGGAGGTGCTTAGGTCATGAGGGTGGAGTCCTCGTGATTGGGATTGGTGCTGCCATAAAAGACCCCACAGAGATCCTTTGCACGTTCCACCATGTGAGGACACAGCAAAAAGGCACCGGCTATGAGCGAGGAAGAGGGGCTTCACTAGAAATTGACCATCCTGGTGCCTTGATCTGGAACTTCCCAGCCCCCAAAATTGTGAGAAATTTCTGTTGTTTATAAGCTACCCAGTCTGTAATATTTTGTTATATCAGCCTGAATGGACTAAGACACATATGTTCTTGCTCTGTTATAGGCTCAAATGTTTAGTTTCTCTTGTCACAAGTTTCTCAGTTTAAAATTATGTTGCCCTGCTTTTAAAATAGCTAGCATTTATTTGGGAAGTGCTCCCTCTTGCTAACTTTCCTAAAAAAAAAGTTTGTATATGTCAGGTGTTATTTCTTCTTTAAATGTTTGATAGGATTCACCAATGAACGTATCTGGGCCTAGAGCTTTCTTTGTGGGAAGGTTTTTCATAAAAAATTCAACTTCTTCAATTGAAGACCTATTTAGATTTTCTGTTTCATTTTTTTGTCACTTGAATAAGTTATATTTTTCAAAGAATTTGTCATCCACGTTGTTAAATTTATTGGCATAAAGATATTCATAATATTCTGTTATTATCCACTTAATGTCTTTGAAATCTGCCCTGATACACCTTCTATTCTTGTCACTGATAACTTGTTTTGCTGTATTATTTTATCTTGCTCAGTTTAGCTGGGAGTTTATCACTTTCGTTATTCCTTTCAATGAGTTGCTGTTGTTTGTTTTTTTCTTTTGCTTTGTTAATTTTATTTGTTTTCCACTTTATTGTTCTCTGCTCTTATTTTCATTATTCCCTTTTTCCACTTGTTTTGAGTTTACTTTGCTTTTCTTTGTCTAGCTTCTTAACTTGGATACTTAAGTTACTATTCTTATAACTTCTTTTCTAACATGTACATTTGGAACTGTAATTTTTCCTCCAAGCACTGTTTTAGCTACATCCCATAAATTCTGATATGTTGTATTTTCATTATCCTTCAACTTGAAATATTTTCTAATTTCCATTACGATTTCTTTTTTGACCCACTGGGTTAATTAAACATGCAATATTAATTTGAAATATTTGAGTTTGGGGGAAAATACTATTATTGATTTTTAATTTAATTTCATTGTGATAAGAGAATATAATTTGCAAGATTCAGTCTTTTAAAATTTATGAAGACTTTTTTGTTTTGTTTTGTTTTGTTTTTTTGAGGAAGATTAGCCCTGAGACAACATCTCCCATCAATCCTCCTCTTTTTGCTAAAGAAAACTGGCCCTGAGCTAACATCTCTGCCCATCTTCCTCTATTTATATGTGGGACGCCTGCCACAGCATGGCTTGATAAGCGGTACATAGGTCACAGGTCCACACCTGGGATCTGAACTTGCAAACCCCAGGCCGCTGAAGAGAAGTGCACTAGCTTAACTGCTACGCCTCTGGGCTGGCCCCTATTAAGACTTGTTTTACAGCTCAGCTTATGATCTATTTTGGTGAGCATACCATGTGTACATGAAAGGAACGGATATTCTTGAAGTTGTCATGTGTAGTGTTCTATAATGTCAATTAGGTCAAGGTGATTGGTAGTGTTAAGATCTATATCTTTACTCAGTTTTTTCTAGGTGATCCATCAATTGCTGGGAGAGGGGTGTTAAATCTTCTACTGTGATTGTGGATTTGTCAATTTCTTCATTTAATTGTCAATTTTTACTTGTGTTTTGAAGGGTTTTTATTATTGTTATGTCTTCTTAATAAATTGATTCTCTTATTATTATGAATTATCCCTCTCTTTGTTAATTTCCTTTGTGTTGAGGTCTATTTCATCTGACATTAATATAGCCACCTTAGCCTTCTTTGACTATTGTTTGTATGATTTATGTAATGTTCCATCTTTTAACTTTCAACCTCTCTATGTCTTTAATTAAAGTAAATCTCTTTTAGATGGCCTATAGTTGGGTCTTGCTTTTTTATCCATTCTGAAAATTTCTGCCATTTGTTGGAGTTTTTAACCAATTTATATTTAATGTAACTATTATTGTGGTTCTATTTAATTTTACCACTTTACTATTTGTTTTCATTTCTCCCCTCAGGTTTTTGTTCCTCTGTATCTACTTATCCATAATTTTTAGGCTAACTGAATATAGTTCTATAAGCCAGTAAGACTGCAGGTTTCCGTCCAATTTTTAGTCACCCAGCAAGGCACTAGCTGGCCAAAAAAGCAGGAAACTCATTAACTTTATCAATTTTTCCATTCTCCTCTAGTTTTTGATTGATTTTGGTCATATTGTCATGCCTTCAGATACAGGCGTACCTCAGAGATATTGCGGGTTTCATTCCAGACCACTGCAATACAGACAATATCGCAATAAAGTGAGTCACACGAACTTTTTGGTTTCCTAGTGCATATAAAAGTTATGTTTGCACTATACTGTGGTCTATTAAGGGTGCAAATAGCATCATGTCTAGAAATAATGTACATACCTTAATTAAAAACTACTATATTGCTAAAAAATGCTAACCATTATCTGAGCCTTCAGTGAGTTATAACCTTTTTGCATGGAAGGTGAAAAATGCAGTATATGTGAAGCACAATAAAGTGAAGACCAATATAATAAGGTATGCCTGTAGTTGTTTTTGATATTTTGTCCACATTTTATCAATGTTATCTGTGGAACAGTTTGCTGTATAGGAGCTATTCTCCCTTTGCCAGAGGTGGAACCTAATTTTAAAGCTCATAACCATTCTGTTACATGCTCCTCACTTATGCATTGTCTGATAAATCTAGGTGTTTAAGTGACTCCATCAGTTTGCAGCTATGGCTTTCTGAAATAATTCACTAGTAGATCTGTATTTCTTTGATGTATCACTTCTAGCTCTGAAATCTACTATTGGTAGAATCATAAAGAGAATTTTGGTAGATGGTTTTTTATGTGAAGTATTTACAATGTTGATAAGAAAATGAATAAACAGTATTTTAAGTGTTTACCTTTGGGTCATGGAATTATAAGGTGATTTGTTTTCTCCTTCATGCTTTTTAGAATTTTCCAAATTTCTATAATTGACATGCTTTATAATTGGAATGAAGGATACTAATTCTTTTTGAATAAAAGGAATGAAAGGATAGTAACGCCTGCTGAACACCTATCATGAGCTGGGTAGTAAACTAGGCACGGTCTCATTTTAAACTTTTATGTTTTTTTTTTTTTTAAAGAAGAAAATATCTTTTAAAATTAGCTGTTAACAGTGCAGTTTAAAAGAATATTGGTTTTCTATTCTAGTGATGTCCCTAGGTGTATTTTTCAATGGGAGTCTTTCTGTGTCCTTCTCAGGTTAACATTAGTAGATGAGTTCTAGACACACATCAATATCTGGGATGCAGCAATAGTTGAGAAAAACTGATGCCCCTATAATATACCTAGGCATTAGATTTGACCTGTGGCACTCTTGGAAAGGACAATTTCCC